GTAAGTGGAAGCCATAAAAGGAACAATCAAGTATGACATGATTAGTGTAGAGGTCTATTTAGTCAAAGCTACTTGTTCCTTTTGCTTCATGGTAAAAGTGATATCCTTGATCCCCTCCATATTTTGGTGTTGACACTAAATGTATAACCATACTTAAATTAGTTATGCAGTCTATTTTTGGTCACTGTTTTTTTTAAGGAAACAAATATTGAATGAAAAAAAGATTGATAATTTTGGACTATAGAGATACTACAAATACGTACAACACACAACGGAAGCAAATTAACGAAAAAAACATATTCCATAAGGATCACAAGTTCAATGGTTTAATAAAACAAAACTAAAACCCTAGAGAGAGATGATCGATTGGTACCTTTATCTGATTCATCAACTTTTTTTTTTTGATTTTTCTAGAATAATTGTAGATTCCAAAGTACAAATTCTCTCTTTTAGTAGCACCTCAAGATGTAACTTTAGACAAGATGACATTTACTTATTCTCATTGATGGAAAAACCGCAAAACGTAATGTAATACGGAGGAATGCCTTTAGCCATAAGAAAACGATGTGTGTGTGAGTATATATATATATATATATATATATATATATATATATATATATATATAGATAGATAGAGAGAGAGAGAGAGAGAGAGAGAGAGAGAGATTGAGAATGAGTTAGTATCCATTAAGAACTTAAAGATTTATAATGTGAAATAAAAAAAGGAGAAAATATGGAATGGTTCATTAATAATTTTTGTTTGTAATAGTAGCCGAAATAATAGAAGGAACTAAAAAATATTAAAAAAAATTCTAGCAATAAGACTAATATGGTCATTTTAATCTAGTTGGTGACCAAAATTTGAATAAATGCAAACGAGATGAATAATCCATGTTAAAAAAGAGTTAGGTACTAGTTTGTCAATTATCTCAAACCATGCGTACCATTTATTAATTTACTCTAATATTAATAATAAAGTTTACTAGAATAATAACATTGGATTGTTACCCATGAATTTCACATGAAATGGATTTCCCACACATTTCACATGAAAAGTGTTTGATACATATTTCACATGAATTATTATAAATAATTTTTTCATACATATTTCCCATGACTTATTATAAATAAGTATCCATATGTCCTTTATTTTTTTTAATATATAGGTAATCCATGGGTAACTCTATTTAAATTATCCATGGATTTCTCAAGGACTATATTTTTTTTAACTCTCAAACATTATTGTTTTTGTTCCATCTTTCACATAACTTAAAAAATCAATGTATTACTTTGTTATTCGAATTGATGTTAATTTCGTATGTATATACATACATGTAAACCCTTGAAGCTTAACTACTCAATACAAACTCTCGAGTTTGTGTATGCATTAATATGCAACCATTCAAAATTCACATATATGCATTAATGATGCATCCCATGCTAGATGGATTTGTGATCCCTCCAAGATGTACACTAAACAACAAAACATTATCAATTTCCCTCGTTCAGTTTAGTACCTATGCAGTCACGCCTAGTAGAGAAGACAATATTAGTACCAATTTGATGCCCAGCTAGGCGGTATAAGGACATCGTGACCCACAATCTCCTTTTCAATCCAAAAGAAAAGTTATATCAAAGGAGACACGAAACCAACAACTAAATATTCCATCTTAATGCGCACATGATACAAGTTCGACATCACAACTCTCAATAATATATAAACCGTCATACTATAAATAAACTTAGATATCTATTAACAACCATAAGAGATAGTATCACTCTACACCCTAAAATACAACCAATATTAACTTATCCATCATAACATTTTTTTGGGATCCATTCTTGTAATACACCTAGCGTTTTATTATGATTTCAGGTCTTGGAAAACACCTTTACTACTCTTTTATCACTGGTGTTCTAAAAGGTGCGACATGGCGTGAGGCATGGTTTCATCGTTACAAAAAGCCTCATAACATTGTTGTTAGGCGTGGCGCGTAGCAAGGTGTGATATGACATGCTATGGCACGTTGTGGTGTGTTATGGCATGTGTTTTTTCGTTTGAGACACATTTTTTGCTCTTTGTTATGTTTTTTTTCTAATCGGAGATATAAGTATTGTGTTTTTTTTAACTTTTTGTTATTAGTTATTGATCTAACAGTTCTAAAAAGTAGTTATATTTGATATAAATTTATATTTATTTGGTAATATAATTTTAAATTCATACAAAATCGCCGCGTTACATCACATTTTGAAAAAGGCCATGACTCGCCATGACTCGTTAAGCTTGAGGCTTGGCCTTGCCGCCACGCCATGCTTCACACCATTTAGAACCCTCTTTATCACCAATGCCTAATCAACCAAATTAGATTGATATAGTGGTGACATCGGTAGAACTGTAGTGAAAAGTGTAACACCCAAAATTTTATATCATTGAAACACACACACACACATATATATATATATATATATATATATATATATATATATATATATATATAAACATAATACCATAAATGTATTTCCAGTCCATATACAACTTTATTTAATGTAATATATGAATTTAAAGCACACACAAGTTTTAGGGAGTCCATATCTCTGTTGTTGAAATTGTTGACTCCTTTACTATATATGATGACTTATAAATTTTTCATGTCCTTGTTCTTACCAAATCCACAAATCCAAGGTAAAATTGATATCACAATGCATCATCACCTCATTGAGATAAGTGTCTATACACATGACAAAATACAACAACATAGATAGGAATGCATGAACATACATAAGCATATTTCGTATGCAATTCATTCCGCATACATATAAAATGCCATATCAAAATTAATGATATTATTATTATACAAAACATAAGATAACATCAAAATATGAAACTATTCATAGCACCCTCATTCATACACATTTGATTTCGTAATAAAGCATTTGTCATAAACAAGTAAATATGACATATACTCAAGTAAAAATACCCATATGTACTCACCTTTGGTGTTGGTCTCAACTAACTACTACTTTTATCTTTGAATTTGCCTTATTCCTTTGTCCCAAACTTTATTCAATCCTAATAAATTGATATAACTTACTTGTTTCCGCAATTCACATGTCTATTTCAGTAATGCTAAATCATTCTTGTAATGTAGTACTTTCAAAGTCCTTATCCATCTATTCCAAAGTACAACTTTCAATGTTATAATCTCATATTCTAGGTGCTAGTGTGATTAACAAAATTTAGCT